TTTGTGGAATATGATTCTTAAGCCAGCAAGGGGAAATTTATATAATCTATTTAATTGGACTTATTACTTCAAGCATTAATGAAAAAATATAAATAGTGGTGTATAAAGTACTTTGAAATTTACTGAAAAAATAAAGGATGTAATTATCTACAAGTACAAATCTAGATTTTCTGTGGAATCTTTCTACTAAGAGACTGACAGTTGTTAATGTAAGGATGAAGTTTGATCAGTGAGGGTAAAAGATAAGATCGAACATCAGTATAATAGTGCAGAAAATCTTTTCCTCAGTGGTTCTTGTAAAAGCATAACACTAGCTATTTATAGGGTAAAAAGAAATAATAAAGATAAATAAAATTGCTCAACTATCGAGGGAAAAAAGAAACCCGAAGAAGGTAATTATAAGCTTATGTCTACTAATTTAATAGGTATCTGCAAAAATTATTAAAATGAAGTGATTTGACCTTTTATTTTAAAAACAGTATGTGGACCTCCTGTGGCCCACTTATTAGATGACATGTATGGTCAAATCATATAGGATGGTCAGGCATGGATGGGTTGAACCTGAATCACTAAAGGAAGCATCCATATTGACGAGAACAACTAAGTCTATTTAAGAAACCAAAACAGTAGGGGCAGCTAGGTGGTGCAGTGGATAGAGCACTGGCCATGAAGTCAAGAGGACCTGAGTTCAAATCCCACCTCAGACCAAACACTTGACCCTTACTAGCTGTTTCACCGTGGCCAAGTCACTTAACCCCAATTGCCTAAAAGCAAAAAAGAAAAAGAAAAAAGAAAAAAAGAAAAAAACCAAAACAGTACATTGGCTCCATAGTTGTAATAGATTCAAAAATAGAATTAGTATTCTTCTCATGAAGGAAATTTATGGGGAAAACCTCATAGTAACACTAAAAAGCATTCCTAAAAGATGTTTCTCATCAATTTATTTTTGTGGGAGAGGGTTTTTAAAGCATGTCTGCTATTATCGTTCATATAAATTTATTCTGACAATCCATATGATATACTATGCCAAAGAGCTGTTTTGCCAATTAATGGCATTCTCTGATAACTGGCAGTGAATCAGGATAAGTTTCAGGTTTCAGCAGATTGCTGTCTAAATCCTTTTAAATGATGCTTTTTCATGTAAATGGTAATGATTTATTCCTGTAATTTTACTAAACATTTTGCTCAGAGCTTTTGGTTTTTAGATACTACACTATAATGTCTTGTACTAAAGGACTGTCAGTGTTTCCTTCCTAGAGCAATTTCAATGTGCTTGTTTTATGCTGTCATGCAAGAGGTCATTTCAGGGACAGAAATGGCCTTACGGAACTGGAAACTGTATATGCCACTTACATGTCTGCAAGCTGGTTCACTGGATGCCGAAGCATGTCTAACCTGAATTCAGTGCATGAGATCAGTAATAAAGACAATGAAAACTCACCCACCTATACTAAAGTTCTAGCTCGTTTGATGTTTTTAATGTGACATAGCCTTCATTTGCTTGCTAGCTGAACCAAATGTTTAAATAGGATTCTGAAGTCCTTTCTTATTTATTAAGAAGATAAAAAATGACAAATTCTACATGGGTACTTTTTTTAATGTTGGATTTTGTGCAGTGTAAATGAAAACTCTAACAGGCAATCAGATTCTCTGGCACCTACAGATTCTCCTGTAAGCATTTAACTTACTCTCTTAAAAAACTGAGTTAATTTTGTGAATACATTAATTCAGAAAGACTTCTAGGTTTGTTGCTGCTTAGTTCCAGCTTTTCATGCCCCTGTATGGAGCTTTTAAGCAAAGATACTGGGATGGTTTGCCATTTCCTTCTCCAGTGCATTAAGCCAAATTGAGGTTAGGTGACTTGCCCAAGGTCACATAGTTAGTGAATGCCTGAATCTGGATTTGAACTCAAGTCTTCCTTACTGCAGGGCCAGCACACTATCCACTGAGCAACCAACCTAGTTGCCTTTATCTAGGGTAATACTAAGTAAGTCACTACTTTAATTATTATCTGTTTCAAGACAGTCATAGATGCATTAGTTAACACCAAATCTCTTGGCTATTTTCCTCTAGACTTTGCTGTCTCAATCACTCAGGGTGAGCAGTTAATTCACTAGGAGAATGAAATTATTGAGTGTAATAAGCAAGAACCTAACAAGAGCTCTTAGATGGCCACTGAAGTTGCTACCTATTCTTGAACCATGATCTTGTAAGACATTATTTTAATGTTTTAATACATAAATATCCTAAATATATCAACTCTCCTAAACTTTCTCTGTATTTCTGATTTATTATTCCTTCACTTATAAACCTAGTCACTGTGATTACAAAGCAATACTCTAGGGTTTTCTACTGATGGTGAAGGATTTAGTCAGCTGGATGGTATTTTAGTAGCTTTGAATTCATCAATTTTGATTCCTAATCTTTCCAATGAAATATTGATTTCTATAAGGCAAACATTACTTCTTTCCATTGAATACACAGAGAGAGTCATGAGCAGGAAGAAAATATCAATTTCATACAATCTCCATTCAAAACACCAGAAGTAGGAATGAAGGTGAAAACCTCCCCACTGGAAATGACTGATCTTATACAGGCGATTGGGGAAAAAAATGTTCTAAGAAATTCTCAAAGGATGCACTGAAAGTAGGAGGTGGGTAGACAAAGTAACATTACTACAGCAGAAGAAGTTTAACCTATAATTTATGGGTGGGGAAAAAAAGTAATTTAAGTTTCACAATCCTGCTACTTAAACAAATTTTTAACCTTTTAATAAGAAAAGTTGTACATCTGTAACAAGAGTTCAATGGTCAGAGAAAATAAATTATAATGAGCCATGCTAAAAATAAGAAAAAAAGTATGTTTTATCCTGAAAGCCCTTCATAGATAAAATTATTCTTATGATGTTACTTTGTACCCCCTTTTACAGGCATAATCACTGATCTGAGAGTGAATGGTACATATGGAAAGAACACTAGGCTTAGAGTCAGAAGACCTGGACTCACCTCTCATTTCCACCACAAGACTGTGAACAAATCACTTAGCTTCGGTGAGTCTCGGTTTCTTTGTTTTTAAATGGGGATGACAATGGTACTACTTACCTGCCTGGATTGTTGAGAGAAAAGCATTTTTTAAATTGGGAAATAAATGTCTGGGGACCTACCAGCTTTCAAGGCTTCCAAGGATGTGTGGTCCAGGGAAAGGTTTATTCTCTGCCCTCCTGGTATGAGTGCTCCATGCTTGTTTCTTTCAAGCCTAAGCTCATGTTGCATCTTCTAAATGAAATGTTTCCTAATCTCCCAACTCCCCCTAGACACATATTACTTCTGTGTTTGTCTTTAATGTACTTATATAGAATAAAAGCATCATGAGGGCAGAGACTTTCATTTTTGTGTGTGTGTCCTTAGCACAGTAGCTGGCATGTAGCAGGCTTTAATAAATGTTTATGGATTAACTAATTAACTGACCCAAGCTGCACAGCCTTCAACAGAAGGTGTTGGGTCCTTCTAGACTCTCCACCCTGTCACCATCTATTCACTATAAAAACTTCCTTATCCTCACCAACTAGGTTCTATTTGTTGTTGTTCAGTTGTTTCAGTTGTGTCTCACTTTTTATGACCCCAGTGGTTTTGCAGATGAGGAACTGAGGCAAACAGGGTTAAGTGACTTGGCGGGGGTTTACACAGCCAGTAAGTGTCTGAATCTGGATTTGAACTCAGGTCCTTTAGACTCCAGGGCTGGTGCCACTGTGCTGCCTAGCTGCCCTAAGCCCTACAGCAACATGCAACTCTCAGTCTTGTGTTAGCCAGGAAATTCCAGCAACACCATCTTCACCTGAATGTACTCACTCCTTCAGACCAAATTGATTCTGCGTTTTTCCAAATGATATTGCAGATTCAGCCCTAAATAGCCTAAACAAATCCTATGACCATTCATCCATTCCTTCCATGGAGTGAGCAGTCAAATCATTGGCTGAAGGACCTGACAAGACCTCAGAGTTAATATCTATCTTCATTCTCAGATTCAGTCCCATTTGGAAGGAGGCCAGTAGTTTTCTTTACTGGTTAGGCTAGGGCATGGCATCCATAGATGCCTATGGGGGTTTGTAAATAGATTTTGGAGAGTCTGTGAACTTGCATGGGGAAAATTTTTTTTAAAATGTGATATATTCCCTAGATAATACTCTGTATTTTGTTTTATGCACTTAAAAACATTGTTCTGAGATGGGACTCTTAGGCTTTATCAGTCTAAAAAAAGGTATCCATGACACTAAAAAAAGTTAAGAACCTCTGGGCTAGAGTGTCTTTTGTAACCTTCTTGCCAAACAGGTATATCCCACAGTAAGTCATCGCCCCTTCCTGGCTTAGCCCAAGTCTTCTTCTAAATAAGTGTGGGGAGTTCTTTTCTGGGCTCATTAAGTTTCCAAGAACCCTGAATGGAAAGGTACTGTTCCTGCTATCATGGCTTAGCCATGCCCATTTATCTGTCTGTCTCCTCTGGGCTCCAAAAGCCTATACCTTTTCTTTTTTAATTTTTTTTTTAATTAACAAGCACTTATTTTCTCTTCCTGTACTTCCTACTCCACACTTTAAAAGGAAAAAGAAAACAAAACAATTTAAAAACAAATATTCATGATAAAGCCAAGCAAAATCTCTCACAGGCCATAACAAAAACACCATAGCCTTTTTTTCCTAAACAATGAAACAGTCTAACCTAATAGCTTCCTATGAACCATAAAACATCTCCCTCCATCTCTCTTCTAGGACTTGAGTCTTGTCTTATTATTCCTGTGCTAGGAATTGGGAGTGCTTCCCTGAAATTCCATCCCTATATGTATATCCCTGCTATGTTATTTCAGACCTTTTTGATACCAATGGCTAATGTCTATCTTCCGGATCTTGCCTCTCATTTTCTGCTTAAGTCATCCCTACAGCAAGAGGAGAAATTACATGTGATTTGTGAAAAGTGTATCAATGTTGGAAAGATTCAGATGCTCTTACCTGCAGTTCTGTTGCCGAAACTTCTTTCCTTTTGATAAACATCTACTTGGAGATTCTGTACATTCACAGGTACACTTTCCAGGATTTAGTGGCAGATGCCTTGGACAGCTTTTCTTGCATACACACTGACATGTGTTTTCATCAAATTCTCTGTTGGTTCCACATGAGCTGGGTAGAAGTTTGTTTTTGCACACACATTGGCAGGAGTTTCTGTCCAGTTCTCTGTGGGGTCCGCAGCTTGAAGGCTGAAGTCCTCCTTTGCATACACACTGACAGGTTTCTTCATCCAATTCTTTGTTGGGTCCACAGATATCGTGGAATCCATCTGAAGCATCTAGGGAAAGGTCAGACAAAAACATTGTAAGGATACCTTCCTTTGTGCTGGGAAAGGGATGAAGAATACCTTAGTTCACCTTGTAAAGAGGTGCCATTTCATGCAAAAAAAATTTTTTTAAATGCTCCTCACCAACATTAAAAAATAGTAATAATTACAAACTTCCTTAAACTTCACTAAAAGATGATGACATCTTTTAAATAATAATTAATAATTATTAATTATTTAAATAATTAATGACAATGCTATTTTAATATATCCTGTCTAGCTTTAATGACTTTAAAAATATATTCTATTTCATTAAATGTTTCCCAATTACTTGTACAAAAATTAAAATTCATTTTAAAAAATTGAGTTCTAAATTCTCTCCCTCCTATCCTTCCTCAAGAAGGCAAGCAATATGATATTGAATATACATGTGAAGTAATACAAAACATTTTCATATTAGCCATGTTGCAAAAGAAAACACACACATGCACGCACACACACAAAAACAATAAAAATGAAGAAAGTAAAAAAAGTATGCTTAAATCTACACTCAGAGTTCATCACTTCTTTCTCTGGAGGTGGATAGCATTTTCCGTCATGAGTCTTTGGGACTTGTTTTGGATAATTGTCTAAATCAGAGTTCTAACTTTAATTTAAAATCACTTTATATTAATCAAAAAACTAGAATCTGTGCCTCTAATCTTTAGAAAGTCATTTGTCTTACCACTGTCTCCAACACTGGAGGAGAAAATGAAATCTTGCTGAGCCAGGCATCTGCAGATGTGATTGTTCCAGATGTGATTTTTGGGGCAAGTCTTGTTTGTTGCATGACACCTTTGGATAAGATACAGAGTTTAAGGAATAACATAGTTATGACAGAAAAAAGTTAAGTGACTGTGTATACTGTATACAACTTTCTGTATACATACTTTCACCCAATTCAGTACTTTTATACCATGACATTAAAAAAAAATCAGCTTTTAAAAGTAGATTATATGGAAATGTACTTGAAAATCATATAATGGGCACATCAATTAAACTCTCAGAACCTCAGTTTTACTGTCTGTAAGATTCCTTTCCTGGCTCTGCTTCTGATTTTGGACTTTCCCACTGGGTCCCTAGCTGCCTTCTCAATCTAGAAGTTCCCTCTGGCCTTCTAACCCTGGAACATCTCTCTGCCATTGTTACCCCCTTGTCCAGTTGGTGAGTTTTTTCCAGAACCGTTTTGAGAAAAGGCCTGGGCCAACCATCCTTGATTCCTTTCCCAGCTTTGTTTCTGACTCTCTAGACTTTGCTACCATTTCTCTACATAAGTTTCTCTTCTCACTCCCATTTTTCAGCTCCATTTTATATGATGTCTTTCTCCATTAGAATATAAGCTCCTTGAGGGCAGGGCCCATCATTGTCTTTTGCTTTTATTTATATCTGTAAATGTTTAGCACAACACCTGGAAAACAGTAAGCACTCAGATGCTTGCTGATAAAGTAGAATGTGAAGGAGACAAAAGAGAAATGAAGCAAAAAATTTCTAGGAAAATTGAAGTAGGGAAATATTGCTTTCATTCAGTGGTGGTGGCAGGGAGATTATGGATTTCATGGAAAATATGGACCCTAAGGAGGATCTCGAAGGATTTTGATGGGCAACGATGAGGAGAAATTGCATGAGGTTAGGGGGGAGGAGAGATGTTCTGTGTAGATACATAAAGATGAATAATAGGATCACAGATTTAAAGTTGTAAAGGATCTTAATGGTCATCGAGTTCAACTCTTCATTTTACAGAAAAGAAAACTGAGTCCCAGAGAAATGAAGATAACTTGCTCAGGTTCATATAGTAAGCATTTGAGGCAGGATTCAATTCCAGATCTTCCTCATGGAAAGTTCAGCACTCTCTCCCCTATGCCATACTGCCTCAGAGAGTACAGGGAAAGAATAGGAGGGTAGGATGAAGTTAAAGAACAGTGAGTTGCCAGATAGACAAGTAGATTGGAGTAGATTAGATTAGCCAGGTAGATTAGAATCAAGTTTAGGATGGCCTTAAAAGACATGCTGAGGAGCTTTTATTTTAGCCTCTTGGAAGTAGGGAGCCACTGAAGGTGTTTAAGCTGGGTTAGATATTGGAAAACTTACTTAACCTCTTCCGTCCTTAGTTTTCTTAATTCCTGAATGTTGATGGGGTAAGCCACATAACTTTGTTAATTGAATTCACTATAAAATTTGCTAATATGATCTCGGTTGGGGCCCTCCCTACTACATCCTAATCCTACTTCTCTAATTGGCTATCTCACATCCCTCAGTGTGTGTTCCAAATCATCCGTACTTTTCTCAAGCTACTTTATGCCATTCCCTTCCTGCTCTTTCTATCAGAGAACCTCCCTTCCTACTTTGCTGAGAAAATTGAATTCTATGCTTCAAATCATCAAGAAACCAACCCTCTAACTCCCCCAGCTCCCAACAATCTCCTAACAATCTTGTTTTTTCTAGTCTCAGAGGAAGAGTGGCTCTTCTCCTTGATATCACCCACCCCTCTATTGTATCCTTGATCTTATCTTCCATTTCCTCTATGAGATTTCCCCTTCAATTTTCCCATCACCATCTCCCTAATCTTCAGTGTCTCCTTATGCACTAACTTCTGCCTTATTGTTTGTAAACGATCCCTAGATCTCCCCCAATCATAAAAGAATTCTCTTTATCCTATCAGCCAGTTCCCTCAACCAGCATTCTTCTTGTATCTCTTCTCTCTTTCACAGCCATACTCCTAGAAAAAAGATACCTGTTTGTTACCATCACTTTATTACCTTTACTTCTCAGCCTTTTTCAGTTTAGCTGCTGACCTCATCGCTCCACTGAAAGTGATACTTCCAAAATTAGCAATGATCTCTTAATTGCAAATCTTGCGATATTTTCTAAGTCCTCATCTTTCTGGATCTTTCCTCTACATTAGACATTGCTGCTCACCTCCATCTCTTACATGCTCACTCCTCTCTTTCTTTTTTTGTGACGTTGCTCTTCCCTAGTTTTTCTCCTCCCAGTCTGATCGCTCCTTCAGTCTCCTTTATTGGATCACTGTCCCTCCCCTACTACCTCTATTTGGTTATACCTAGGGCTCCGTCCTAAGCCCTCTCATCTTCTCTCTATATACCTCCTCCTTGGTCATCTCATCAACCTCCATGGGTTCAACTTTCATCTTCAAGCATATGACTAAAAAAACCAATAAATAGCCCAACCTCTATTGATGTGTCTTTTTACACTTAGCTAACTGGTCATCTGACCAAAGACATAGCTGAGTCCATATCTGAAACCTATAGAAGCTCTCAGAAAATATGGCCTAGGATAGAGCCAGGGGAAAGTTTGATTGACTGAACCCAGGGGAGCTTAGGAGATCATGGTGTTAGACACTCTGAGGGGAAAAAAAAAAAGAAGGTTCAAGATCTGATAACGCTTGCTTAACCTAGAAACAACCAACCCGCTGGCATTTTGCACTGGGCTAACACTTCAGAGGAAGACTTGAACTGAGGCTAGTAGAATACCCTAAATAAAAACTGGACAGAATAAATGTCACAGCTCCTGATTATTTGTGGCCAGGAAATGTACACATATAATTGGCAGATTGATTGCCACATCCATTTCTGCTACTTCGTATTTTACTGAAACCTGTTTTGCAGTTCCATTTTTATTATCTGGCTCTTTTTTATACAATCATTAAAAAAAACCTTCTAAATTAAAAATAAAGAGAAAGGAAACTAAATTGAAAGAAAAAAAACTGATGGAGAGTCAAGTTCCTAAGCATTTGAGCTGAATGTCTGTTATAGATTAAAAATCCAAAAACACTGAAGTCCCATATTCCAAGTCAGAGCTGCCCAACCTATAAATTCACCCTCTGTTCCTTAGTAAAAGAAGACGTGTTCTCATATGGATGAAATTTTCCTCAAAAAACTTCTTATAAGCAAACACATTTTATTTAGTGTTGTAGTAAACATTACAGAAATTTTTACAAAAGAATTACAAGATTGTAAACACAACAAACTAGTCCTCAAGCTAGATTTAGCCTTTTGTCCCTCCTTTTCTATCCCTTTCTTTACTATCACATGCTCCAGCCCCACAGTGACTGATAAGTTTCCTTATCAGATTGAAACAGCATAAACCTTATTGACTCATTTTCTCATTCCTATGAATGTTGGCTGGCTTACTTATCCTGACAATGATCATGTCACCTTCCATGGCTTCCCAGTGCCTAGGTAACAAAGTCCAACCTTTTTAGTCTAACATTTAAGACCTTCCACAATTAGAACTTAATAACCTATCTGACCAGATCTTGTTCTACTCTTCTATGTGACTTTTTTTTTTAAATTTAGCCAGACTACTCTACTCATTGTCCATGAGTACAACACATTCATTCTTGCCTTTGAACTCTTGTTCATGCCCATAAAACACAAAACATAGTTACTAGGCACTGTCATTCTTCTTTTCACTTCACGCTGCCTTCATTTCACTTTTTACTGACCCAATTCTTTCTCCTCCTTTGAGATCTTCCTTCTCTATTACTACCTTTACCATGCAAGATATCTCAATCCATAGGATTTCATTCTCCTATGAACTAATAGCATTTATTGTCTTATAATTCATTTGACTTTAGGTGTTCATAGAGCTTTTTGTGACATGCTATTCAGTAATACTTTTTTCATTGTTATTTTATATTATTTCATTTTTAAGATATGTTTATCACATCTTCCCTATTACACTATAAAGGCCTTGAGGTTAGGGACAGCACATTAACCTGTGTAGCTTCAACTGATTATGGAACAATGTTGTATGTGTAATACATGCTGAACACATATTTGTTGAATGGGATAGATAGATGTACTGTGCCACTGAAGTTTCCAAGGGCACCTCCTTAAAAATGCTATATCATCCCATTTTCTTTATATAATTTTTATTTCAGAAAAAAAGTAAAAGTAATATTGATATATGTTTAAAAATCATAAATAGTATTCTTCATAATAGTTTTCAGACTTTGCCTAGTAAACAGAAATTAGTTGCTCTCATTGAGCTTTGAAAAAAACTTGATCTGCTAATCCTTTGGCATCTTAATCTATATAGACTTTTAAACGCTAAAAATATTAAAGCATTCAGGAGTAAGAACTTTCATGTAATATCATAGATTTAGACCTAGAAGTGACCTTGGTGTCATGTCCAACTACATCTTTTTATTTTAAATAGATAAAGAAAGTGAGTTTTAGGAAGGTTAAGTTACTTGCCTGAAGTCATAGAAAAACTGATTTGAATCCAAATCCTCTATCTTTAAGTCCAGTGCCCTTTCCACTAAACCAATACTTGACACTGTGGATCCCCCTTTTTTCTTAATACTCTCTTCTCTTTAGATTTCTATGCCACTACTCTGTCCTGGTTCTCCTTGTCAGTCTCTTAGTGAGTCTTGTTCCAGGTCACCTCCACTAATGGTATGTGTCCCTTTCCTTGGTCATCTTCTCTCTATATACTATTTTACTTGGTGAACGCATCAGTACCAATGGATTCAACAATCATCTCTACGATGATGATTCTCTGGTCTACTTATCTAGTCCTAGATTTTCTCCTGACCTCCAGAACTGTATTTCCAATTGCTTATTGGATGTCTTAAATTGGACGCACTGTGGACTTCATAAACTTAATATGTCAACATCTATACTTATTATCTTTCCCCTAAAGCCTCCTCTCCCTTCTGAAATTCTCTATTACTGTTGAGTGGAATATCTATCCTCCTAGGCTCAGAACCTGAGTGTCATCCCCTCTTCCTCACTCTCTCAGCCCTCCGTTCTGCTGCCAAGGAGGTGTGTCAACACCTTTGCAACACCTGTTCTCTCGGCTGACTGCCACCACTCTGATATGGTACATCTCACTGCTGGATTGTGGCAATTACCTGCTGATCTGTCTCCCTGCCACAAGTTTTTCCTCACTCCAGTTCATCTTCCACTCACTTGTAAAATTAACCTTCTCTAAACCACATATCTGACCATGCCACTCTTCTTCTCTCCCCAATTCAATAAACTGCATTGGTTCCATATTCCTTCCAGAATCAAATAGAAAATCCTGTGGCATTTAGACCCCTTCCCTGGCCCCATCCTATCTTTCTATCATGTGTCTGAGGCCGCATTTGAACTCGGGTCCTCCTGACACCAGGGCTGGTGTTTTATCCACTGCACCACCTAGCTGCCCCTTCTTTCTAGTTTTCTTAACACATTCTTCTCCCCTCCTCATATATGCTGCAATCCAATAACATTTGTTTCCTTGCTGGTCCTCAGATCAGATACTTCATCTCTTTACTCCGGGCATTTTCTCTGGTTGTCCCCTTGGTCTGGAATGGTTTCCCTTTTCATCTCAGTCTCCTGGCTTCCTTCCTTCAGCTCCTCCAGTTGAAATCCTACCCACTACAAGAAATTCCAGATCTCCCTCAGTGTTTGTGGCTGCCCTCTGTTGATTATCTTCAATTTATCCTGTATATGTCTTGTTCATACACAATTGTTTTTTGTTATCTAGTTCATTAGATTGTGAGCTCCTTGAGGGCAGGGACAGATTTTGTCTTTCTTTGTTTCCTCAATGCTTAGCCCAGTGCCTGGCACATAGAAGGTGCTTAACCAATGCTTATTCATCGACACCAAACTATCTTCCTATTGAGCATGTCACATTACAGATATTAGTTATAGATCATTTATATAAGGGCAGCTAGGTGGCAGTGGATTGAGTACTGGGATTGGAAACAGGGAGACTCATCTTTCTGAGATCAAATCTGGCCTCAGACACTAATTGTGTGACCCTGGGCAAGTCACTTAAACCTGTTTGCCTCAGTTCCCTCATTTGTAAAATGAGCTGGAGAAGGAAATGGCAAGCTACTCCAATATCTTCCAAGAAAACCCTAATGGGGTCATGAAGAGTTGAACATGACTGAACAACAACAACATTTATTTAAAAAAAAACTCGTAATACATAATTTTAATTGAGTCATGTAAACTTGCATCCTATACATCTAGTTTATAAATATTAATATTTTGTATTTATGTCCTTTTTTGTTGTTGTTTGTGTGTGCATTTCTTTAGTGGCTAGAAATGCTGAGGAACTAAATGTTATCCACAGTTGGGGGAGGGGGAAGAAGAGAGACACCAATGGCATCTAACTGTCACTTTGCAATGGGTAATGACTATGTCCTAATCATGGGCTCAAGATCTAAATCTGTTTCCAACTCTTGTATCTGACCTTGAGGCATATATGCTGCCGTTTCTGAAACCAACAAAAAAAAAGGGGGTATAGTAAAATAGAAATAGGGGCTATGGTTCTTCTTGCCATTTAAAATTTATCTACATGTATCTATCAATATGTATGTGTATATAGATATGTATATGTGATCAAGACCTCTAATTTTACAGGAATGGGAAATGTCACAGAAATAGGAACATATTCAAATATAAACCATATGATTTCATTTCCTCTTGACACACAGGTGATCCCTAGTTCATGGAGGACATGCCAAAGCAGTGCAAGTTCTAACAGGTCCTACAAATTTGGAAAGGTTTTAGGGAGAGGTCTGGCACAAGAATGTACTTCTGTTATCCAAGGATCAGCCCACATAAGTTTGAAAAGACTCCTCACTAAACTGGCTGCAGAAACATACAAATACTGTGCTAAGAGGCATAGTGATATGTGCTACTAGCATCAGAACCTACATTAATGAAGCCACGCACCCTACAACAAAGAACAAATCATTTTGATATGAAATCAAATTCATGATGTTTTTTCTTTAATAGAAGACCTGATATGGATACAATAAAGTACTAGGACATTGGATCCATGGGTGTTTTGCTTTATGAATTTTGTCACATTGCTATGTGCATTATTTGTAACTATATCATACATTATAATTATATATTATAATTTGTATTGTATGTTGTGTAATATAACTATATTATTAGTTTAATTATACTTTTATAGCATCCTGTACATTTGACTTTACCTTAGCTTTGTACATTAAGCAAATTGGCAACTTCCCCAAGGCTTGCTCTGATCAAGTTGTGACTTTCTAGATTGCTTCATATTAGTGTCAGAGGATTCAGAAATGAAGACTTAGCTCATACTCACTGTGACTGTGTCGCTGGCAGGGAACGTCTAATAATTGAATGAACTTGTCTATAAACATCCAACTTAGACATACATCGGCAGGAGGTATGATTGGCAAAACTGATGGTAACTGGTTTGGGGCCATGGGAGAGGGGCACTGTAATTTCAAACAGCTACAGAGAATAGGGGGGAAAAAAAAGAAGCAACAATTATATAGAATCTGTTGACAAATATAATTGAAATCCAGTTTTTTTAATTAAATATTATACATGTGATAACATACCTTTCATTTCTATGAATATCATATTAGAACATTTTAATTTTTGCCATCTTTATCTCATTGTAGTGAATATTTAAAATCTTTTCAGTGATAGGAGCAATTTGGACATTTATTTTAGTGTAAACAAATGTTGAATTCTTTTAAAGGAACCTTTAGAAAAGTGTTATAAATGCATCCATCTTGTCACCAAATTATGAGTTCATGGCAATAATAGGTTTAACTCAAGACATTCAATATAATTTTAATATAATATATAATAATATAATAATAATTAATATAAATATAATTTAATATAATTTGATTCAGTTACCAATTTATTTTGTGATTTGGGATTAGTTTTAGATGATCTCCCTACAAGGTTTCCTGCTACTTTGAGACCTTACTCATAATTATATATATATATATATATATATATATAATATATATATATATATATATATATATATCTTAAAATAAAAAAGAATGCAATGAATGCTTCCTAACATGCATTACTAATTAGCAGACAATGATTTTTTAATGGGAAAAAAGTTTCAGTTATAGTGGATGAGATTAAGCTGAATCTTAAGCCTTTTACTTAATGTTGAGGGCAGATATTTACAAAATTATCTTAGACCATAACAAGTCTGTTTTGGATTTTCTATTCATAAAAAATTCCAATTTTTCTTTCCTCTAAGAATATTTATTTCTCGTGAAACATAAAAATGAGAAAATATGTAAGTGAAACTCCAGAACCTTTAAATATAAATTCCAGAAGAATAATACTGCAAAATGAAATGAAGTGCTAAATGCCTGATGAGGTTAGACTTTGAAATTTTAACTATAATTGGACTTTTTTCATACTGGCATTTTTTGTACTGAGACAATGGAAATATCATTAAAACTAAGAAATCTGTGTGCCCTCCAGTCACTTGCTATGACCTCAAAGTTAGAGATGGAATTTGGTTTGGAAGACAGATTTAGGGATGGGGTTGCGTTAATTACCTTCAATAATTTAGGTAAGGACAAAATTGGTTAATCTATCTCCATCCCTTGCTCTGTTTTTCCAAGCCAAATCTTTTGACTAGGTATTTATTTTTACACTTGTAAAATAAATAATACATACATACACATAGACTTTCAAAAAAATCTTTGCATATATGTATATGGTTGAATGTATGTATTTATGCATATAAACATAAACATACATATCCATATGTGCATACATGTGGCAGGGGCAAGTGGGTATATTTTGGGGCAGGCAAACCTAAGATTTCACTGTTATTGAAAGCTTTGACTGTGGACACTATGTTTCACTGAAACTCCGTTTACTGATTCATTTCAGTAACCACATGCAATAGTTTTAGAGAGCTGAAAGGGGCCACTACTGTATGATAGAGACAGCTCTTCAATCTTGGTCTTCCTCATTCTGAGGCCAGTTATGCCATGCATTTAGAACACAGATTTAATTTCTTATATGTTTTTTCATGTGGGGTTAGGAATTGGACCTATGATTTTATCATACTTGGATTTCCCAGATAAAGAAATCTTTTCACAAATTGAAGTTGGCATCTTCTCTGTGACACAGAGGCTTACAGAATTGTGTAGGCCATTGAGAGGTTAAGGACTTGCCCCAGGTATACAGACTGCTAGTATGAGTTAGAAGTAGGATTTGAATTAGTTTCTTCCTGTGAGGCCAGCTCTCTATCTACTATTGTTGTTGTTCAGTTATTTCGGTCATGTCTGACTCTTCATGACCCTATTTGGGGTTTTCTTGGCAAAGACACTGGAGTGGTTGGCCATTCCTTCTCCAGCTCATTTTTCCAGATGAGGAAACTGAGGCAAATGGGTTAAGTGACTTGCCCAGGGTCACACAGCTATTAAGTGTCTGAGGCTGGATTTGAACTAAAGTCTTAATGACTCTAGGCCTAGCACTTTATTCACTGAACTACCTAAGTGTATTCACAGATCACTATACCAGGCTAACTCTAACTTTTCTTTTTTTGAAATGTGAATGTCACTAAAAGATTTAGCTACTCTAAACATCCAATTGCTCCTATATTTCTGATTTTTTTTTCTGTGTATAAATACTATCCACGCAGAATGAGGCAGTTACAAGAATATACTAATAAAGATAAGCATTATAGCTTTTGTCCAGTTTTATTTCTAGAAACAGTAAGGTGGCAAAATGGATAGAGCACTGGGCTTGGAGTTAGTAAGATCTGAATTCGAATTCAGCTTCAAACACTTACTAACTCTGTGACCCTGGGTAAGTCATTTAGCCTCCATTTGCCTCAGTTTCCTTAACTGTGAAACAAGAATGCTAATAATAACAACTAATTCCCAGTGTTTTGTGAGTATCAAATGAGGTAATATTTATAAAGTGCTTGGTACACAGGGAGTAGCTTGTATCCTTCCTTCTAATAGAGAAATTCTATCTCAGCCATGGAGATAAACCATGCCGTAAGGTAGATCAGTACACCTGAGAGAACTACAGTAGCATCAAGAATGGAACTAATTAATTGCACTTCTATGATGTTCAAAGTCTGCAAAATGATATATGTGCATTCCCTCCTTTGAGCTTCACAATAATACTGTGAGATAGTTCCAAAAGTTATTATTATTCCCATTTTATATATGAGAAAACTGAGGATAAGAAAAGTCAAGTGATTTAATAAGTGCCAAAGGTAAGATTTCAAGCCAAATCTTCCTGGCTCCAAGTCCAGTCCTCTAACCATAGTGTTCAGAGAGCATGGGCTGGTATAAGCACAACTCCAACTCTATTCCTCAGCAGAATGAAGATGAAGTAAGTGAAAATCCTTTGAGAAATCTGCTACCTGACTATGGATACTCGTTTTTCTTTTTTCTTTTCTAATGTGACAAATCTAACAGACTTGTTATCTGAAAAAATAGAGAGGAGAGAGTGTTACAATGTCTACATTAAATGGAATTTCTCTTTCTCTCTCTTGTGTTGGGCTTTGTCAGTAATATATAGAAATGCCAACGATTTATGTGGGTTTATTTTATATCCTGCAGCTTTGATAAAGTTGTTTGTTATTTCAAGTAGTTTTTTACTTGATTCTCTAGGATTCTCTAAGTATATCATCATATCATCTGCAAAGAGTGATAGCTTTGTTTCTTCTTTGCCTAGTCTAATACCTTCAATTTCTTTTTCTTCTCTTATTGCTAAAGCTAATGCTTACAGTACAATATTGAACAACAGTGGTGATAATGGACATCCTTGTTTCACCCCTAATCTTATTGGAAGTGCTTCTAGCATGTCCCCATTACATATGATGCTTGCTGAAGGTTTTAGGTAGATGCTATTTATTATTTTAAGGAAGACTACATTTATTCCTTTGGTCTCTAGGGTTTTTAATAGGAATGGGTGTCGTATTTTGTCAAAAGCTTTTTCTGCATCTATTGAGATGATCATGTGGTTTCTGTTAGTTTTGTTGTTGATATGATCAATTATGCTGAGAGTTTTCCTAATATTGAATCAGCCCTGCATTCCCAGTATAAATCCTACCTGGTCATAGTGTATTATTCATGTGATAAGTTGCTGTAATCTTTTTGCTAATATTTTATTTAAAAATTTTGCATCTATATTCATTACAAAATTGCTCTATAATTTTCTTTCTCTGTTTTGACTCTTCCCTGTTTAGGTATCAATACCATATTTGTATCATAAAAAGAATTTGGTAGGACTCCTTCTTCACCCTTCACCTATTTTCCCAAATAGTCCATATAGTATTGGAATTAATAGTTCTTTATATGTTTGATGGAATTTGCTTGCAAGTCCATCTGGCCTAAGAGATTTTTTTCCTAAGGAGTTCATTTATGACTTGTTCAATTTCTTTTTTTTTTCTGAAATGAGATTTTTAAAGTATTTTATTTCTTCTTCTCTTAATCTGGGCAATTTATATTTTTTGTAAATATTCATCCATTTTTGCTAATATTGCCAAATTTATTAGCATATAGTTGGGCAGAACAGTTCCTAATTATTATTTTAATTTCCTCTTCATTGATGGTGAATTCACCCTTTTCATTTTTGATACTGGGGGCAGCTAGGTGGTGCAGTGGATAGAGAACCAGCCTTGAAGTCAAGAGAACCTGAGTTCAAATCCGGCCTCAGACCAAACACTTGACACTTAATAGCTGTGTGACCCTGGGCAAGTCACTTAACCCCAATTGCCTAAAAAACTCCCCCATCATTTTTGATACTAGTAATTTGGTTTTCTTCTTTATTTTTTACATCAAATCAACCAAAGGTTTACCTATTTTTTTTTCATAAAACCAACTCTTACTTTTATTTATTAGTTCAATAGTTTTCTTAATTTCAGTTTTATTAATCTCTCCTTTGGTTTTCAGTATTTCTATTTTGGTATTTAATTGGAGATTTTTAATTTGTTCTTTTTCTGGCTTTTTTAGTTACATGCCCAATTCATTTATCTCCTCTTTCTCTATTTTACTCATGTAGGCATTTAGAGATATAAAATTTCCCCTAAGCACCACTTTTGCTGCATTCTGTAAGTTTTGGTATGTTGCGTCATTATTGTCATTCTCTTGGATGAAGTTACTGATTATTTCTATGATTTGTTGTTCAACCCACTCATCCTTTAGGATTAGATTATTTAGTTTCCAATTAATGGTTAGTCTATCTTTCCATGGCCCTTTATTAATATAAATTTTATTGCATCATGATCTGAAAAAGATATGTTTAATGATTCTGCCTTTCTGCATTCGATTATGAAGTTTTTATGCCCTAGTACATAATAATCAGTTTTTGTGTACGTGCCATGTACTGCTGAGAAAAAGGTATATTTCTGTCCTCATTCAATTTTCTCCATATCTAACTTTTCTAAAATTCTGCTCACCTCCTTAACTTCTTTCTTGTTATTTTGTGGTTAGATTTAT